CAGGTATTTCACGATTGGGTGTCTCCAGTCTTGGTTGTCCGCGAGCTGGGTTGTGTTGATTGCTGCTTCTGGGCGGGTTTCCTCCTCCTCCTTTTGAACAGACACTAGGCGCGTGGATTCGAAGTCGGTAGCCGTTGCCAATTTGGACAATGCGTCGGCGTGCGCGTTCTCTTCCCTTGGTATTTGCGCGTACGTCACCGCTTCAAAGTTGGTGGCCCGCGCCTTGACGCGCTCCATATAGTGTGCCAGTGTGTCCTCCTTTGCGTCGAATGCCCCGTTTAATTGGTTGACTGCCAAGGAGGAGTCGGAGAGTACTCGTATCGTTCTGGCGCCCAAGTCGTGGGTGGCTGTCATCCCTGCTAGGATGGCCTCATACTCGGCGGCGTTATTTGTCTTCAGCGCCCTGAATCTTATCGCTATTTCGTGTACCGCGCCGTTGGGGGTGCGCACCACAACACCCGCACCGGCGCCATACTTGCTCGCTGCCCCGTCGACGTAAACTTCCCATACGCCCTCTGGCGCTGTTTCCAGGGTCACCCCTTCAGCGATGAAATCCGCTAGGATTTGGGCTTTTATTGCTGGTCGCGGCGCATATTGGATGTCGTACTCCGAAAGCTCGACCGCCCATTTGACCATGCGCCCCGATACTTCCATTGAGGTCAGGATCTTCTTGAGCGGAAGATTTGTCAGGACGGTAATTTGATGCCCTTGGAAGTATGGGCGTAATTTTTGTGACGCGCTTACCAGTGCCAGGGCAGCTTTTTCTATAGAGGAGTATCTTGTTTCCGCGCTGACGAGCGTACGCGAAGTGTAATACATCGGTTGCTCAGTCTTGCCGTCTCTTCTGGATATCAGTACTGCACTCACAGCCCTTGTCGACACAGCGAGGTACAAGAAGAGTTTTTCATTGATTTTGGGGGCGGTTAGTACAGGGGGGGATACAAGGTATGCTTTTAGTTCTTGGAATGCTGCTTCGCACTCCTTGGACCATGCGAAACGCGCGCCATTCTTGAGTGTCTGGAAGAAGGGCGCACATTTGTCGGCGGACCTTGGTATGAACCTTCCCAGTGCCGCTATCTTGCCGTTAAGAGATTGGATCTCTAGCGCGTTGCGGGGAGCCCGTAGTTGTTGAACCGCGGTGATTTGCTTTGGGTCAACCTCTAGCGCGTTGCGGGGAGTGCCGCTATCCCTGCTTCAGCTCCAAAAACGCACTTGAGTGGATTGAGGCGAAGGCTGTGTTTGCGGAGGGCTTCAAAAGTCTCGCGCAGGTCCTCCAGGTGTGACTTGCCCTCTTTCGTTTTGACAATGAGGTCGTCCACATATGCTTCGATGTTCCGCCCGATCTGTCGCGAGAAGACCGTGTCGATCATTCTTTGGTACGTTGCGCCCGCGTTTTTCAATCCGAACGGCATCCCTACGAAGCAAAAATTTCCAAACGGCGTCATGAAAGCCGTTTTTTCTTCATCTTCGATGGACATTGGGATTTGGTGGTATCCTGAGAACATGTCAAGGAACGACAATGTCTCATGGTCGGCGGTCGCGTCGATCAGCTGGTCGATGCGCGGTAGGGGGTAAGGGTCTCCAGGGCACACTTTGTTGATTGTGGTGTAGTCGACGCACATCCGCCAGGCTCCTGACGATTTCTTGACCAAGACTACGTTTGCCAGCCACTTTGGATATTTCACGGGGCGGATCAATCCTGCCGCCAGTAGGCGCGCTACCTCTTCTTCTATCGCCTTCAGCTTATCGCCCGTGAACGTCCTTCGCCCTTGCTGCCTTGGTTCCGCGTTGGCTGGAACCGCAAGGCTGTGTTGGGCTACCTCCCTGGGCACTCCTGGCATGTCTTCTGTGCACCATGCGAACAGCTCCTTGTATTCCCTCAGCAGCGCCACGAGTGGTTCGATTGCGTCACTGCTGACATGGGTGGAGATGCGTATTTTCTTGGCTGGCTCGGCGGGGTCCAGCGCGACCTCGAAATCGGAATCCATGGATTCCGGTCGGGGTTCTTCTGCTCTTGTGTCGACGATGTTGGTCCATCGAACCTCCTCGCGGTCTTCCCATGTCGTTCCCCGCGCTTCCCCAACTCCTTTTTGTGTGGGGAATTTCAGCTTCTGGTGGCACGTCGACGGGAGTGCCATGAACTTCGCAAGGAAAGGTCGGCCCAGGATGCCATTGTGCGCCGACTCGCAATCGACGATTGTGAACTCTACTTGCTTGGAGACGCGCGGCTCCTGGTCTCCCATGACCACGGGGAGGGTGACTACTCCAATTACTGGGACTCGGGTTCCGGAGAAACCGACCAGGTTGCCCTGGGCGCGCCTGATTAGGCGCGGGTCGATATCCATTTTGTTAATGGTGCTCTGGAAGAGGATGTCAGCAGCGCTACCCCCGTCTATCAGCAGGCGGTGGGTCTTGCATGCGGCAATCAGCGCGGTGACGATGAGTGGCTCTTCTGACGGGACTCCTTGTGGGAACTCGGCGTCGTCAAAGCTCAGATTGAATCTTGTTCGTGCGTCTACGGCCGCGCACTCCGTCGCGCGCTCACGTTTGGTTTTTTTCTTGGGGCGATCTCCTTCAACTGTTACCACCCCGATTTCTTTGCGCACTACATACGCGCCAGTGTCATCATCTTAGTTGGCCTGTGGGGGTGGCGGAGGGTGTTGCGGGTCCCCAACTTGTTCTTCCTTCACGTGGACGAACTCGGTCAGCAATCCTCGCCGCACGAAGCCTTCTATTTCGTACCGTAGCTCTCGGCAGTCTTCCGTTCGGTGCCCCGTTGCTCTGTGGAAGTCGCAATGCTTCTTCGGATCGCGCATGTGGGGTAGGGACCTCAGCGGAGCAGGCCAATTGAGTTTGTAGCCTTTCTCGCGGAGAACGTGGAACACGTTCCTCACGGAGTCGTTAAGGGGAGTGTAGGCGTTGGACGCGCGTCTGTCCGGCGATCGCCCGCGCTGAACTTGCTCTGGTGGGGGAGGAGGGAGACGCTTTGGGCCACTGTGCATCTGTAGCAGTTGGTCTCGTGGGATTGGGTTTGGAGGCTGCCGGCGCCCCTGCTCTTCCCGTGGTATTTTTGCTGGTTCGAAGCGTCTGACGGATCCCGCCCCCAGGGTCTCTTCTAACGTGATTGCCTTTTCAATCTTCATCTCCAACTCTGTTGATAGCGTTACAGGCCTTTTTGCTAATGCCCGCTTGAGCTCCATGTTGCTGGTGGCCTCCATGAGGTGGTGGGCGGCGGTTTCAGGGGTGAGATCGCGGACGGCCATTGCTACCCTGGACCATCTAGCGTAGAAAGCCCTCAGGCTTTCCCCGTCCTTTTGCCTGATATCTATCAGGGCTTTGAGGTGTAGAGGACGTCGTTTCTGGGACGCGAACTTTGTCGTGAACAGAAGTATGAACTCCTCGAACGAGCGGATGATTCCGTTCGGGAGCCGGTTATACCAGTCGAGGCATATTCCGGAGAATGTCGATGGGAAGGTCCTGCACAGCGCGGCATTGGAGTTGGTTTGGAGTTGCATGCGCAAGCAAAAGGTGCTCACGTGGTCTTCTGGGTCGGTTGTGCCGTTGTATGTTGGTAGGGGGGGGGTGGCGCCCCGCTTAGGTGCTCCGCCATTATTTGCGCGCTCAGCGGCTGGTGGAGGACCCTCTTAGGCGGGTGGGGTCGGTATTGCGGAGACAAGTGTTGCTCCAAGAAGCTGAGGTCCGCCCGCCCTGGTGGCTCAGTTCCCTGCGTTTCGCACGCGGGAAATTCTGCTGGCGCGGGTTGTGGTAGCTGGGCGGTTCCCGACGCTTCTCCCACGGCTTGTATGGGCGCGACCGCCGTCGTGTCTACTGCTGGCGCGGCCTCCTTGCTCAGCATGAGCGCAATGACTTGGCTCATTTGCTTCTGCATGTCAGCTATGACGTTATTTTGTTTCGTCACCAGCTCCCTCATTTCCTTGGCCGTCAGCTCGGGCTCTTCTTCTTCTAGGAGCACCACGTTGAGGTCGCTGGCTTCTGCGAACGCCCTTGGGTCGGTCATTGCTTTGATTGGCGTTGCTTCGTCGGGTTGGTCGTGGTTGCGTTCTGCCATCAGTGGATTTTTCCTGCGTTTCTTCTTGGCCCCACGGTGGGCGCCAATTGTTTGAACCTAACTGAGTGTAGGAGTTAGATTCGGGTGAGAGTTTGGGTCAAGAAGAACGCAAGCGTGGGGATCCACCGGAGAGAGGAGAATTGGAGGATTTGACGAGGAAGAGAGTCCAGATTTTAGAGAGAGAAGTTGTTGCTATAGAGAGAGAATGCCCAAAAAATGCGATCCCCTCACCCACCGTAGTAAATGCCGTATTTGTAGGCTTCATGGTGGTGGGTGAGTGGTTGACTCAAGTGAGGATACAATGATGTGACTACTGGGATACAATGATGTGACCACTAACATACTAAGGATTTTAGGCTATGTCCTGTCCATCCCTCTACCTAGGGCGTGTCAGAGGTCTATCCATGGGCCTGATGTGACTACCTTCTGGGAGGAAAGCTGCGCTTTCCTCGTCTCTTGGTTTAGCCTACGCTAAGCTCTCCCTTGGCGCGCGTAACCCACTCCGCGCCTAAGCTCTTCGCGCCGAGACGCGGTTAACTGCGATGAGGTGTCGCGCTCGGGGTCTTCGCGCTGCCTCGTCGGGGTATATTTGGTCGCGCACTGTTCGTTGACGTGGCTGGGCCTGACTTGCTCCTTGGCGCAGCTAGGCCCGAGTCACATGCCCAACAGATCCATACCAAGCGATCTCTTAGGGTTATCGGAGCTTACCCAAGTGGAGCTTCAATACAATCTATTGATCGGAGAGTTTCCCGTGACTATCGAGGCTGTAGCCATGAATCTTGGCCAAATCAGTCTCTCCAACAATGAGCTCTATGGGCCATTGCCTACGACTATCGGCAACTTCTCTGGTGTTCAGAAGTTTCTTCTCGACGGGAATCAATTGACGGGTTCAATCCCTTCAGAGATCGGAAAGCTACAACAGCTTTCGAAGATGGATTTCAGTCACAACAAGTTATCAGGGCCAATCACACCTGATATCAGTCAATGCAAGCTGTTGACGTTCGTGGATCTGAGTCGAAACCAACTCTCCGGTGAAATTCCGAATGAGATTACAACAATCAGGATCTTGAACTACCTGAATGTATCGAGAAACAATCTCATCGGTAGCATTCCTCCACCCATTCCCACTATGCAGAGCTTAACATCTGTTGATTTCTCTTACAACAATCTCTCTGGTTTAGTCCCTGGTACTGGCTAGTTTAGCTACTTTAACTACACTTCCTTTCTGGGTAATCCGGATCTCTGCGGTCTTCTTGGGTCCTTGCAAAGATGGGGGTCCTTGTAACTATAATAATTTTTTTTGTTTTATTTATTTTACTTTATTGTGAAAATGAGTTGGAAATGATTTAGAAGATTAAAATTTATTTTATTTATTATTTTTTAATTGCCATGTCACTGAGTTAACGGTCAACTTTGAGGGTTGACTGCCACATCAGACAAATTTAACGGAGTTGGACGGAGAGTGACCAAACTTGAACCAATTAACTAATTTAAGTGATCAAAATTGGATTTAAATATTTCCAGTGACCGAACATGAACGTTTTTTGTAATCTCAGTGACCAACCATGCAATTAACCCCTACTTTTGTATGCCAAATCTTGAAAGACAAACATGCATCATTGGTACTTCAAGTCTTGAAACCTAGTGCTTCCGTTGTCTAATTTGCATTGTAGTCTTGGTTTCTAGCACAAAATTGTTGTATTGTGGTTCGAATGCAAGTTCTGATTTCTTAATCATTGTTGTTAGCCGTGACAATATTGTGATAGTAGCCTCACTCAATGTAGATTTGGTTGTGGAGCTGCTCTTACTGATGTCTTCAGTCTCTATTTCATTGTCACGTGAAATATGGCATTTGTCATTGAAGTGTTGAAATATATGTGTGTAGATTGTATTTTTGGCACCCATGCCAGTTTATAGTAAACAAAGTGATGAAGGGTCTATTCATGGTGCGAGATTTGTTTACATTTAAGTGTTCATAGAATATTACGTCATTATAAACGACATAAGAGAATATTGAAAGAATATGAAAATGAATGTTGTAATTAGAGCAAAAAAGACAAATAAAAAGCCGAAACAAACAACCATATCTAGCAAGTGAAGCAACATATGTAAAGCAGGTAAAACAGTAAACCCAATGTACAAACATGGGAAAAGAGATTCCACAAATTAACACCAAAGCCATCTATTTATTGGTAAACTCTGCAGCAACGTATATTCTGATTTATTTATTAGGAATTCACAGCAGAACATAAAGTTTCCGTAGAGATTTAAATATTACTCAGGATTCAACAATGGTCACAATTACACAGCAATTATCAGCAAAATCTAATTGGAAAATTACAAATTTATCTTGTCAGTACATTTTATGAGGCACAAAACAAAACTATACACTTATAATGAAATGAAGACAATAACAATTATCACCTCACGCTTGCTATGTTACAGCAGGGCGGCTATAGTTCACCGTTATATTGGGTTCAAATCAGAACGAAAGAATACGAAGAATGTGAAATACAGGGAAATGGAACAAAAATAAAACAGTTCAATCATTTAGTGAGGGTAGAACCAAAAGAACTTATCTTTCTGCGCAATGAGAATTCCATTTTTAATTCGGCAATAAGTTTCAGCAACGGAGAAAAGATAAGAGAAAGAGAACGGAAGATGCAGAAAACTATTCCTATTCCTACTGCTACTGATACCTTCACATTTTCACTTCATGGATTCCCCTGAAGTAACTAAGACCACTAACACACCCTCCGCTGCAAAAGCAAATGTCGTCGTCGCCGCTTCGATCGGTTCCCAGATTATTCAAGTAATTGTCCCAAAATTTCACTTATGCCATCTGCTTCTTTCGGTTGGCCATTGATTTGTTCGGGCTACGTTTTGTTTGTGGTGTATTCCACAATTCTCCTTTTATGGACTTCCTTTTGTCTGTATTGTGTGCTTCGTTGACCAATCCTTCAACTTGAGTGTCTTCTGATGTTCACTCGGAAAAGTGTTGGTGGTGAGAAAAGAGAAATGGATAGTGGGAGTGGATACGACCATACGGGATTGGCACTTTTCCTTTTGTCAGAGCGAAAAACAGACGGAAGTATCGGAAATACAGGGGAATGGAAACACAATTGTCTTAGAAATTGATGGAATCAGCGGGCATGGACAGGAATGAAATCCATGCCGATTCCACACAACGGCGAGAAATTGATTCCACTCCTAAACTTGTAATCGAAAGGCTCCAACAACGGAAGGTGTAAATGGCCAATGCTAGTCGAAGGAAGTTTGGTGTTCTGGGGGGGGGGGGGGGGGAGGGGTGCCGCTGAATGATAGAGAGAAAGACAAAAATTAGAAGGAAAGAAAGTGAGAAGGCTGGGGAGGAGAGGAGAGGATGGCTTATGTGGACACCTTCAACGTTTAGTAAGGGGTACGTGGCATGGGCTCAAATCCAAAACCCTTTTAATATTTGTTAAGATAAGATAGTGGGGGATTTTTTCCCCCTTCTCATTTGCTTATATTTCCATGGATTACATGTCTCTACATTCCAATTACACTTCCACCAAATCCACTTCATTATGGAGACAAGGTATGCAATTTTTAACTTCTTATTCTTGTATTTCTTGATGTTATAACTTGATACTTCATCGCATTTTACTATCACTAATATAAACTATATATGGATAGATACATCATAAATTCTTGCGGGTCTAAGATGTTTTCACCAAATCCACTTTTTTGCTCTTGAAAATAGAAACTTTTTTTGTGTCTCATACTTTTTTTTTATAGGAACCTGGTAGAGATTTTATTGCTTAAGCATCAGGTAGGTTACAATCCGCTTCCAACAGCGGTAGTAAAGATAAAGGAGGCCTCTCTTCCCAACATTCCTGGGTATCCCATCTACACCCAAAGTGGGTCATAGCATGGGCTACTTCATTACAGTCTCTCCTAACAAAATTCCATTTGATCTGGCCCAAAAGATGGGCCCTGGCCCTAAGCTCCTCACTGAGTTCACCTTCTTCCGTCAGGGCGTCCACGTCACCATTGAGCTTTGAGATGGCCTCCAAACAGTCTGACTCGATTTCCACCGTCGCAAAACCCTTCATTTCCACTACTTCCAGCGCGAAATCGATGGCCTGGAGCTCGACAATTTCTGGCCTCCACTGCCTCCGATCTCGGCGAACCGCTGCGAACAAGCATAGTCCGTTCCAGTCCCACACGACCACCCCAGCTCCAGTCCCTTCTCCCTCAAAGACGGCCGCGTCAACATTTATTTTCACGGTGCCCGCCGGCGGTTTCTTCCATTTCACAGGTACAACTTCCCTTCTCCCCTCCTCCTTGTGCCGGGAAGATAGGAATTCTTCATGATAGGATATGGCCTTTCCCACGATTTCCCACTCTTCCGCCTTCTTCTTGTTGAACAAATGATTATTTCGTTCGTTCCAGAGATTCCATAGTATCATCGTGAATGTTGCTAGGTGTTCATCTTCGATTTCCTCCGATACTTCGCAGAACCATGATGTGCATGATAGATTTCCCCGTTTCTCGAAGATAGGCCTGAAATCAGTAGGTTCCCAGACTCGTCTTGCCCACACACATTCCGCAAAAATGTGCTCCTGGGTTTCTTCCAGATTGCAAAACGGACAATTCACCGCCGCGTCCTTCTTTCTTTTTTCTATATTCTTCCCCGTTGGTAGAATATTTTGTAGGAATCGCCACAAGAACATTCTTACCTTAGGTGGAACCGCTAGTTTCCATGCTTTCCTCCAATTCACCGGGTCATAAACCTCACCTTGATCTGAGTCTGTTCTCTCCAGCTTCAACCTCTGCCTCCATCCCCAATATCCAGACTTTGTTGTGTAGTGGCCTCTTCTCTCTAGACTCCACACCTGCTTGTCCGGTTGAGGTGTTCTAGAGAGTGGAATTGCTTTAATTCTTTCCATATCAGTTGGGTTGAAATTTTGCTGCAACACGTTGTCCCTCCACTTTCTGGTTGTGGGATCGATAAGGCATGAAACACGAGCTTCAATTCCCAGACTGGTAACTGGTGAGACTATCTGGTATCCATCTTCCTCAACATTTGGTATCCATTTGTCTCCCCAGATCCCCACTTGAGTCCCATTCCCGATTCTCCATCGCATCCCATTCCTTACCAGCTCCTTTGCCGCCATTATACTTCTCCACACATAGCTTGGATTATAGCCGACTCTAGATTGGATGATATCTGTATTTGGGTAATACTTAGCCTTTAGAACTCGGGCTACTAGGGAATCTGGGTTTTGCATAAGATTTCAGATCTGTTTCCCCAGTAGGGCGAGGTTAAAGGTCTTAAGATCCCTAAATCCCAGTCCACCTGCATCTTTTGACTCGCATAATTTGTCCCAGGCTCTCCATTATATCCTCATCTCCTCCTTCTTTTGACCCCACCAAAAGTTCAACATTGCACTCTTAATTTCTTCCAACACTACGTCAGGCACTAGAAATACAGACATAATATAGGTTGCCTGAGCCCGGGCTACTGCCTTTATTAGGACTTTTTTGCCTGCATTGGATAAGCTCTTGCTCTTCCACATTTTGATTTTCTTCCGAACCCTATCCACCAATACTCCAAAAACTGATTTCTTTTCCCGCCCTATCACACTAGGTAACCCTAAGTAATTTGTGTGCTCCTCAACCTGCTTCATTCCCAGTATCCCTGCCAATCTTCCTCTTTGAGCAGCTGTCACATTAGGACTAAAAGTCAGGTCTGACTTTGCCAAATTGACCTTCTGCCCTGACTCCTTCTCATATAACCTCAGGATCCCCTTCAAATGCTCACACTCCGTTGTGCTGGCCCTAGTGAAGAAGATACTATCGTCAGCAAACAGGAGATGTGAGATGACTGGTCCTCTTCGAGAAACCTCAAAACCATGCAACTTCTTTTCCTCAATTGCCTTTCTTGTTAAAGCTGAGAGCCCCTCTACGCATAGCAAAAACAGATAAGGGGATAATGGATCCCCCTGTCTGAGGCCTCTTTTAGGTTCAAAACTTTCTGACTTGTGCCCATTAACTAAGATAGAGAACGAGACTGTAGTTATGCAGGACATCACCAAATTTACCCATCTGCCATCAAATCCCATCCACAACATCATTGCCTCTAGGAATCCCCAGCTCACTCTATCATATGCTTTTGAGATGTCCAACTTTGCTGCCATGTACCCTCGTTTGCTCTCTTTTTTCATTTTCATTGTATTGAAACATTCAAACACCACCATCACGTTATCAGTGATGTATCTTCCAGGTACAAACGCACTTTGGTTCTCTTCAATCACTCTGTTTAGTATCCTCTTCAGCATGTCAGCCAATACCTTCGACATAATCTTGTATAACACCTTACACAGACTAATCGGTCTGTAGTCTGGTGGTGTCTCTGGCTTTTTCGTCTTAGGGATCAAGGCTATTAAAGTATGGTTCAGTTCTTTGGGGAACGAACCATTCTCTAAGAAACCTGTTAATTCACGTGTCACATCCTCTCCCACTATCTCCCAGTTCTTTTTAAAGAACAAAACTGACATCCCATCTGCCCCTGGGGCTTTTGAGGACCCCATGTGTTTTAAGGCATTCCAAATTTCCTCCGCTGTAAAGGGTAGCGTGAGTTGGGCATTCATGTCTCCTATTACCCTGGGCTGAATCAAGTCGAGGATAGATGTTGTCTGCACTTCCTCCTCAGGAGCAAACAGCTCTTTGTAGTGAGCTAGTAGGCAATGAGTCACCTCTTCCTGTCCCACAAATAACTTCCCCGTAGCATCCTTAATCTGTTTTATCATGTTCCTCTTTCTCCTTTCCGATGCCTTACGGTGGAAGTAACCAGTATTCTGGTCTCCTTCCTGTAACCAGTCTGTTCTCGATCTTTGTCTCCACTTACTTTCTTCCTGAAGTAGAATCTCATCAAGCTCCCTCTGTAATATTCTCCTCTAAGTGTTCATTGCTTTTGTTTGAGGTTGTTTCTCCATTCTAGTTAGGGCTCTTTCTACTTTTTTACGTCTCTCTTTTATGGATCCAAACGCTTCTTTACTCCATTGCAACAGCTCCTTCTCACAGTTTGCCACCTTTTCCATTAGGCTACCTGGAGAACTAGCTCGCCACCCTTTTTCCACTATCCCTTTGCACTCCTCGTATTTTTCCCAGTATGGTTCATACCTGAACGACCACCCCCATCGGATCTCCTCCTCCTCTGGATTTAATTGTAGCAAGATGGGAATATGGTCTGATCCACATCTAGGAAGATGGTAGACCCTCGCCAATGGGTATTTGTTCAACCATCTCCTATTAACAACCACCTTATCCAACCTCTCTTCAGTGTACCCCCCCCCCTCCCCATTATTTTCCCAAGTGAAGCAGCTCCCATAGAACCCTAGATCTTCCAGTTCACAATCCTCCAGGGCCCTCCTAAATTCTTCCATTTCCTTCACGTTTGGGTTACAACTCCCACTCTTTTCAATATAGTCTGTGATTAGGTTGAAATCTCCCATCATCACCCACTGTTTGTCCACAAGATTTGACAGCCATCTCAACAGCTCACAAGTTTTGACTTTGTTTCTACCCTCTGGCCAACCATAAACTTCAGTTAGCCTCCATAACTCATCCTGATTCTCCATTTTCACTTCACAATCTATATAGTTCACATCTTTCCCTTTAACCTGCAACTCAGTTCCCTATTTTCATAGCATCAATAGGCCCCCTGACCTATTCCTCCTTGTCGCTACACCCTTTCCTCCTTCATACCTAAATTCTTGTTGCTTTTCTTCCCATTCACCATCATACAAGAGAGTCTCCATTAGACTATGTCGGGGTTCTTTTGACGCAAGAGCGTCTTCACCTTCCCAACTGCCAGGGCATTCCCCAATCCCCGAAAGTTGTAGCTCAATAGATTCATTGGGCTGGGCGGCCCTGAATCTGATCAGGGGCCGCCACTCCGCCATCCACTTGTTGTTGGTTTTGTTGTGCTTCCTTTCCTCTTCCTGTTTCCTTCTCTTCGATTTTCTCAACCTGCTGAGTATTAAAGTTTAAAATCGTAGCCTTCTTTTGGCTCACTTCTCCATTAAGCTGATTTGTTTCTACTTGTTGTAGTTCTGCAGCTGCTCGCTTTTGTGGGGTTACTTGTACCCCAGCTTTCTCTCTTGGATTGTTCTGTTCCTGACGCCTCCAAACTCTGCATGTTGGTCTTCTTCTTGTTAGACTCCCTCACTCCCCATTGCAAAGCGCTAGAGAGCCTCATTCTGCAAATTCAATGTCGGTTTTATTCCTTCTGTCTTTTGTCCTTGCTCCCCAGTGCCCTGCTGCACCTCACTTTGTTTGTCCACTTCCATCTGCTTCGCCTCATCATTCCCTTTTTGCGTGTTGTTGTCTCCATCTTCTTTCCTTCCCTGTGATCCTTGCCTGGTCCCCTCCAACTCTTCAGGGAAAGACCTATCATAGTCCGAATTAGATCCTGAGCTTTCCGTCTCAAATTTTTTTCTCAATTTCGCCCACACCTCAACATCCTCTCTCCTCGCTGCACGTGAAGGCTAGCTTCTAGGGCCTGGTCCATCTGTTCTCAGCTCCATACCAAACGGGTCTGGCACTATCCTTGATGGCTTATCGCATCTAAGTTTGGGGTGCCCAATTCTTCCACATGAGTAGCAAAACAATGACAGTTTCTCATATTTGACCTGATATTTCTCTAGTCTGCCCTTTATATTTAGCTTTATCTTCTTCTTCAATGGGTTGTTAATTGATAGACTTACCCTGATTCTCATATGCTCATCCCACAGGTAGCCTGTATCGTCAAACCAGCCTAATTCACCAAATGTTGTTGCAATCTTGGACGCCATCTGCGTTGTCCTTAACTCCGCTGAGAAACCACGAATCTGGACCCATAGATCTATCAAGTGTAAGTCACACGGATTTGGTCTCTGTATTTGCAAGCATTCCTTGAACACTATCACATTGTTCTCATAGTGCCATGGCCCCCCAAAGATGACCTTGTTTTTATCATCCTCCTCCAAGAACTGGAAAGCGAATAGCTTATCCTTGAGATCTGTGATCTGGAACCCTTTTCGTAGATTCCACGCTTTTGCTAATGCTATTTTCATTGTCTTCAGGTTGGGTTGTTTTTCTGTCACCAGACGGGCAACAAGCCCTAATCTCCTGACTGCCTCCATTCTCACAACGTCGACGTCAGAGTCTTCTACTTCCAACGGAGGATCGTCGTCTTCCGCTAAAGTAATCTTGTCGAGCTGCTATTCCAGGCTTAGGGTTTTGGTTGAGGGATCCTCCGCCACCCCTTCCTCTTCTGCACCAGTTGAAGTTATATCCTTAGCTTCCATTGCTCTGATTACTCCTCCTTTAAAGATCTCCCCTCAAAAGGAGATCCTCTGTATTGTTTCTTGCGTGTCAAGTTCCTCTCCTTCTCCTTTACAACTTGTAAAACCTCCAACGCTGATAGGCTCGAGATTAAGTTGCTTTCCTGCTACCCCTCTTAGGTTGTTCTCCTATTCCCACGCTTATAATGACTCTTGAATCGGACTAAGATCAGCCGCACTAGAACTCTGATTGCTACTCGGAAAAACCCGGACAACCCTAGGGTTTCCGCCGCCTTACTCCGCTCTCGCTAGACGAGAGAAAAATCCACATCCAATCCAATCCCTCTGACCGTGTCTCATACTTTGAAAATGAGAGAATGTCTTGAATTGATATATTTATGTGTCAGAGGTATTATAAGCTAATAATGTGAAGAACTTCAACGTTGCTTGCATTTAGTTGCATTATAGAATTTGGGCCAGTTTCTTCTAAGTTGGATTTGATTTAAGTTTTCCTCTTAGATGAATGTTATATTAATTTAACATTCCACATAAATCAGTTTTGGCAAGAGTGTTAGAACTTAGAAGTGATCAATTAAGACGGAGTCTTTTTTCTTGCTCACGTACCTATGAACGACTTTCATATGAATGCATAAAAGACTTTGAACTCACAACAACCAAACTAGAAAAAGACTACTGGAGCAACGTCTTGCTTTAAGTATGTTCCTAACATGCCATTTAATGGGGAGATTTCAATGTTGTCAATAAAAATCCATCACGAATTACAGACCAATAAGCTAATATGATACTTAAACGATGATAAGATTACCGTTGCTATTTGTTCACAAGGCACTGAAATTTCTAATGATGTGCACTTGATCCATGCATTACCGAAGGTTTTGGTTTTTCGTGGTTTACATATATAAATGGGATTCCCACATAGAATAACCACATGGAATTGGAATGGAAGGGTGCTTTTGTCAATAAGTGGGAAGTATTGAGGTGCGTTGTTTCAAAAACAAAGTACAGGGGCATATATGATAAAGAGACTAAAGTAAAATGGGCCGAAGTAGTCATGAACCATTTTGAAAACTGAAAACGGTGCGGAGAAGGAATAATCGGGTTAAGTTAAGCCCAGTTCTGTCCTGTTTTGGGCCAGCGTTAGCTTCTTCATCAATCAGTCCGAGTCCGAGTCCGACAGAGAATCGTAGTTTGAAGGTAAAGTAGCTCATTCCCCGGCCGCGAGTCGACGACTGAGCGTGGAACCGCTAGGTATTCTCTTCTTCTATTGACCTTGTTCCTCTTTAGGGTTTTTGGTTTCGGAGTTCAATTCCCAATCCAAATCGAATTCCAATTCCAAATAAGGGCAGGAAGAGGTGGATTCGAGACCAGTGTTAATATTAATAGGGTTACTGATCAATTCCCGAACCATAGAATCCTCAATTTACGACTCTACTGCTGGGATGGCTGATAATGTGATGCCTGCGCTGAGGGCGCCATGGCTGATGTTGCCGTATTGTGATAACAGCACCGGCGACAATGGCAATGGCGATGATGATGCCTGCAGTCGATGTTGCTTATACGATGTGGCGGAGCAGCAACCTTGCCACCACATTGACTTGCCTGGGGACAGAGTTTGCCGGGGCTCGGCCTTCGGCTGGCTGTTTATGGTCCAGCAAACGCCGAGTGTCTCGTTGCTGAATCCTCTGACCGGGAGGGAAATCCCCTTGCCGCCCATCACTACTATCCCTGATGTGTTGGCCTACCGCCCTGAGAAGCTCCGCCGTGAATACCTGCTTCGTCTAGGTAATGATGGCCGGACGGTGGCACATGACAAGAAGTTGACCCAGAACCAGTACATATCAAGAGTTGCTGTGTCAGCTGAGCCCGGCAGTAGCTCCGAGGAGGAGGAGGAACCCTATGTGATGGCTATCTGTGTGAACAATGAATACCGGCTGGCGTTTTGCAAGCCCAATGGCAGCACATGGAAGATGATTCCTCAGGGTGGCGGTGTACCTCACCTCATTGCTTTTGCTGATGTGGTGTTCTGGAGGGGTCAATTCTATGCACTCGACTATGGTGGGAGTGTTTTTGTGTGTGATCTTTCTCTCCCCGAAGAACCCAAGCTCTCCTTCGTTCTTGACCATGATCCTCGCCACTGCCTTGCCTCTGACCACTGCTACTTGGTAGTAAGTCCAGCCGGAGATGAATTGATGTTGGTTGTTAGAGATATACGCTACACGCTCGAGCATTTGGCTCTCTTCGAGCAAGGCCACGGTGGTGGTGTGTTTTACAACGAGGAAGAAGATGAGGAGGAGGGTGTTATTGAAGCTCCTGATGTTGTTAATGAACCTGATGCTAGTATCAGAATTTACTGGACCAGCAAGTTTAGAGTTTACAAGCTGGTGGATAAGGAAGATGCAAAGGGCTGGAATGAGGTGGAAAGCATCGGCGATTTTGCCTTGTTCTTGGGTTATAACTCTCCTGCTGCTTTCGTCTCTACGGTAGAGCATCCGGGATTGACACCCAATTCCATTTACTTCACCGACGATCTCACTGAAATCCAGCCATGGTGGAGCAGAAGGCATAAGGGAGGTCATGACATGGGCATTTACAGTCTTACCACTCGCACTATCCAGCCCCTGTATTCTGCTACATCTGTAGATGGCAACCCTTTTCTCATGAGTCCACCGCCTGTATGGATCTCACCTCCCAACCATTAGCTCACAGCCAGCCATCCAGAAGCCGAAGAAGAAGAAGAAGTCAATTCACTTGTCATTTTCGTAATTAGTTATTATTTTTGTGCATTTCTTTCTTTAGTTTATTGATCGGAAATTGTGTGGTGACCCAATGCTTTTTTTTTTGTCGAAAGTTTTTAACTTACAATATTAATCCTTCTCCTTTGGGTTTCGTTTCATTCCTCTTGGTTTTAGGTTAAATATGTATTTGATAATGAATGTTGTTTAGCTGTAGGTTATTATTAAAGCCTACCACAAGGTTTTACTTAAAATGGTAGACCGTGAGTCTTGAATCAGTGAGCACATCTTATTACCATAAATAATACCATATGATGATGATTAGATCACGCAATCGAACCATCATAGATATGGTTATAGAACAAATTGAACAGTTAGTGGATCGTAATAAAATGGTTTTTAACATATAGGCTACTCGGTTTGTAAAAAAGTCATGTTCATCACCCAAAATGCCATGACTCCTGAACAACCCCAAGCGGCTGACCTAGTGGTATTCAGAAATGAAAACATTGAGCACACCTTAAGTTTGAACATTGAGACAAACAACCAACAAAAAAATGTTATTAACTACAAAATAATTTAATATCCAAAAAATTTATAAGATAAATGCAAAACCTGCCTAAAAGTTTCCAAGCGAAACTTTATAGAAACCTCTATTCAATCATGCATCTGCATCTCTTATTTTAACAGGTCCTTGATTTATCATCCCCATATTTGTAGCATCATAAACTTCGAATTTTACATCCCTAAGTTCAAGGATTTCTTCACCTATTCTTTCTCTGGCTTGTATTTCCGTCCACAATCTTCACCTTCCTCATAACCTCCTTTGGCTAATCAACTCCTTATGTTTCCCCACCATTCCACTAATTTTCAGCTCTATTCAGCACTTTCATAGCCTGGACCTGTCTGCAAAATGAACAAAACCAATTCGATTGTTCTCCTTTGTTAATTTGTCCATGATTGTGAAAAAGATTCTTCAGCCGATCATCTTTTGGCATATTCTTCACATATAATGGCTTCAATTCCGAGTAGAAACAAAGAGAGCCGCATTGATTCACCAGTAGCAAGAAAACAGCTGCTTGAGCTAATTACTCTAATGCATAAGAGGTATTCAATCCAAGTACGTACTAAAAATGATCAAGTAGTGGTAAGTGGTAACCGTAAAGTTACTTACACATACTATCATGTCAATTAAACAAATATGTAAAAATCCCTTTTGTAATCGGTTTATTTGAGCTTTGCTCTTGCCTCGAAGAAAATGGAATTTTAAGCAGCACGATTGTTTACCTTCTAGCTATTTGTGGTCAGAATTTGCATCCTGCAGCTGGGATTTCTGTTTGTCCGAAAGCAGCAGACTTTTTAGGCACTTCCTCTGCATCTTTGCAGCTCTCAAACACATCAAAAGCATAGTATAAGGTTAGTGGCTAATCCAATTACTTACAACCCATGGAAGAAGATCAAAGGAAAAAAGGTATGTACAGTTTGAGTTGTAGCCTGGAACTCAGTATGTGCATTGTTTAGAACTTACTATTCTGTGATCTATATTTCAGCAAGCATTAGCATCTTAAACTTGCTCAGGGGGATCTATTATATAGGAAGTACCTAGTGGCCCACTCCAAGTAAATATAAAAGAACCCATTATCTTAAGCAGCGTAACATCCAAATTAAGCTACTCTGAAACATGGAAAGGGACTCAATTTTATGGTTTTATGGCTGCAAAGCAATCTGTAGATAACAACCAGAGAAGAAACAATCCATAAGAAGTGAAATCTGCTGCAAAGCAAGCAGAGACCGCATGCATTGTCCAATTAGACCCACAGATATCTGAAATCAAGGCATAAAATGTAACACCCATACATATTTTAAAACATCCATATGATCGTACCAATTAAAACCTTTTACAATTTTGTTTAGCTTACAAAACCAAACCATAATTTACATAAACATTTAAAACTTCTAAACACATGACAGTAGAGAAGACCATCTTCTCTTAAAATACTATAAACAAGTCATGTCAGAGTCTGAGTCCACCATCCCACCTCATTGATGCCGAGCTGAGCCTTACTGAGTTTCCTTGACTTCTAGTCCAATACTTCTAATCTGGGGAAAATTTTTGACGGGGTGAGACGTCACCTCAATGAGTAAAATCTAACTTATCAACAGTATCAATACAAATATAATATCTGGTGAAGTCGAGCCCCGTGCTTAATATCTTAGTTTCCCGAGATAACCAATTTCAGTATCAACTTTGCTAAGGCATTCCAGACATGTAACCATGCACAATTTAGTAGTCAATATCACACACACACACTAGTACACCTATCCATACACACACATACACACAAAGGGTTAGCCAGATTACGTGCCTTTTAGCCTTTAAATTGCCAAGTCATACACTCCCCCGGGTTTATCCAGTAGATGCATAAAGCACCGCCCAATAGATGTCTTAGGCACCGCCAATAGATGCATAAAATACCGCCAATAGATGCATTAAGCATCGCCATTGACAAGGACTGGTATCGCTTTCCCAGAGAGCTAGCCATAAAGCTGCATTATCATATCTCATAGAATGCATGACAAGGCACCATTAAGTTTAATTTAGGTGATCAGACAATCTTCCTTGGTTAGTCACACAACATATATACATCATACAAATAACCAATCATATAGGCATCATCGCCCTTATAGCCATCCAACACCATATCATCGCCTTCACGGCTATCCATTACCATTTCATAGCCTTATAGGCTACCAATACCATATCATATAGCCCAATAAGGATCACGTTATTCAATCACAACTATCAATCATCGTCACATATCATTCTAGGTACATCAATCATACACTTGTTCATCGTATGCCATCCATAGTCATCCAATCATATCATTCATTAAACACACATCATCATTACACACATTTTCAATAACTAGGAAATCACTATTCATATCATGGTTTCGGCCGCTTCATGACTTGAATACCATATATATTTGTATTCATACGATTAATAGGTTGGAGTTTACTCACCACAAGCTTGCTATTCCGCTATATCCTTGCCCTTCTCCACAACGCTGGCTTGGTCGTCACCTTAAAGATGTTAAATAACCACTTTTAATATAATAACAATGTACCCCTCCATTGTAGCACACTAATTAACTGCCAATCATATAATTACAATAAACAGTATCCCACATTTAGCTTTGTTTTAATTTCTATTTTATTTCTATTTAGCATCCCACGCCTACCTATCAGGCTATCACTAAGTAGGGGTGAACAAACACACCCGCAAACCGGCCCACCCGTCCAACCCGATCCAACCCACCCGTATTATCGCTAAAACGAAGGTTTTGGGTTGGGTGAGGATTTTCTTTTGTACAACCCCCCTCTTTTGGGTTGGGTTTGGATTTTGGATTACACAACCCGTAGAACCCGACCCAACCCGTGTTCCAACTATTAGTATGAGTTCGGATCTAAAAAATATTTATGTCGTATATAGTCATATACTAATGAGAAAATTAAGATATTTCGCCATGTTTTTCTCTCATGGTCTCCCTAATCTAATGCATTCTTCGACTTAAAGTTTATACATAAGTTGAATTTAGTTATGAATCACGTAATCCTTTTTCTTGTGTACAATTTTAATAGAATAATATATGATTGATGCGTTTGTTTATAACATTTTTAGCCTATTTCAACAAATATCGTGAAAAAAAACAAGACATATGTTGAAGTAAATCACATTTTATTAAAATTTAAACAACATTTGTGAATTTTCATACCTTTCACCTTGGTTCATTCGTTTGAAATTTTAATTAGTTATAAAATATTTTTATGATGTAGAATAATTATATATTTTATGTTGGGGTTTATTGTAAGTTTGGTCACTATGATTACTAAAAACGTTCACGTTTGGTCACTAAAAATATTTAATTCCATTCGTGGTCACTAAATTTAATAAAACAGTCCAAATTTGGTCACTCTCCATTAGTCTCCGTCAATTTTCGTTAACACCGTCAGTTATTTGCTTACGTGACTAACAGAAATGCTCATTCACCTCATTTTAACCCGCCACATCATAAAATCCGACCCGCCATGTCATTAAACTTGCCACATCAGATTATTATTAAGCATTTTAATAGAAAAAAAAATTAAACCCAACCCTGAAGTCGGATCCCATCTCTCCATCTTCTTCTCTCAATCCCTCTTTGACGCAGAGCCTGGCTAAGCGTTTCAGCGACCGCATCTCCGGCTGCCGCCTCTCACCTCTCTCCGACAACGCTCTCTCTTTCTCCCTCCTCGGCTGCAAAGAAGAAAGGAAATAAGATGGAGAAACAGTGAAATATAATAGATCTGTGATGTGCAGAAGAAAGGGAAGAAGATGGAGAACCAGTGAAATATATCATTCGACAACGTCATTCCTCAATTATTCTTCAGGGGAGTTCTTGCGCTTCTAGTTTCTGCAGGGGAGGAAGAGAGACGAGAAGTGGTCGCGAGGAAGAGAGACGAGGAGTGGTCGCAAGGAAGAGAGTGTTGGCCCTCCTCATGTGGTGGAGAATTGGCCATCAAAGTGGCGGTGATAATTGAAAAAAAAAAATAATGAGGGAGCAGTGGACGGTTGGGAGATGGATTTCTCAACCAATTGCAATTAATCCATGCCCTCTTCTTAGCCTATAAAAGGAGACAATCAGCTCACTTGGAAAGCATCCCTTACCATTCCATTCCATCCTTCTCCATTTCCTTTGCTCTGCTTCTATTCGTATTTCTTTTGTGGGTTTTTGGTAGTGAAACGTTTCACTACCACGGGTAGATAGGAGATTTCCTTGTGAGTGAAATAGTGAGGTTGTTTGGGAAACACCGTGTGTTCTATTTCTTGTATCGAGAAAATCTCTGTAACCTACCATTGTTATAGTAAAGAAATACTCCGGAGCTGTTGTTCCCGTGGACTGGCCCATAATCAGGGTATACCACGTAAATCCTCGGTGTTATTTATTATTATCTATGCTTGTTGTTATTTTGAG